GAGTCGGGGGAAGGGTAGAGGTGGGGGGGAGGGTGGGGGGAGACAGGGGCAGAGAATCCCAAGCAGGCTCTGCACCATCAGCTTGAAGCCCAAAGCAGGGCTCAAACTCACGAACCACGAGATCCTGACCTGAGCCGAAATCAAGAGTTGGACGCTCGACTGAGTCACCCAGGCACCTCAATAAATTCTCCATCAGGGAAAAACAGCACATCCATCGGACTATTTCCTATGTCACTAATGTGCTTTGCCTCAGACTTCATTGAGGACTATTTTAGGCTATACGGCTCAATCTATTTTATTTTCCAATATGAGCTATGTTTCATTAATTTTGAAGTTCCATAATCTTGCAATTGGGTTTTGAAAAAATGTAGCAGTTATTTTAAGAGCTGAGAAGGACATAAATTCACAGATTAAGCATTTATATTTCCCTAAGTGCTTAAAATAGCTTAGTATTGGACTTTAGTTTAAAAGTAATCTCATTTCGGGATGCCTGGGTGGCTCAGTCAGTTGAGTGTCCGACTTCAGCTCAGGTCACGATCTCACAGTCTGTGAGTTCAAGCCCTGTGCCAGGCTTTGTGCTGACAGCTCAGAGCCTGGAGCCTGCTTTGGATTCTGTGTCTCCCTCTCTCTCTGCCCCTCCCCCACTCATGCTCTGTCTCTGTCTCTCAAAAATGAATAAACATTAAAAAAAAAGTAATCTCATTTCAAAATGTCCTTGCTAGCTTCTTTGCTTTACCTAAGTTTTCAGAGACCCTTTCAGCTAAGAATGTTTTCACCCAATTATCATACATAGATTACAGACTGAAGAGGTTTAAGATGAAAAGCACCTCACTCACTGTCATTTTCTCCCAAGAAAAGATTTCTTCACTTCTGGTTGTGCTAATTTATTTTGAAAGTTACATCTGTTCAAGTCAAATTTACACTTGGTGTTCGCTGTTGGATTTCTTTAGGCGGTGGTGTTCTGGTTTCCCAGGTGTTTTGTGTGTCTGCCTTGTGCTATTAATTTTCCCGTGGCCTTCTTCGTCACATCCACGGAGGTAAATGCAAGTGTTTTTCCTTCCTTCAGAACATGGGCTGTTATCACTATATCTTCTCCTATTTTAGCCGGTGCCATGTACCTTGAAGGGAAACAAATATAGTTAACAGCAAATAATTTTTTATTAAAATTCTGTATTTATTGGGGCGCCTGGGTGGCTCAGTGGGTTAAGCATCTGACTTCGGCTCAGGTCGTGATCTTGCGGTCCGTGGGTTCGAGCCCCGCGTCGGGCTCTGTGCTGACAGCTGAGCCTGGAGCCTGTTTCAGATTCTGTGCCTCCCTCTTTCTCTGACCCTCCCCTGTTCATGCTCTGTCTCAAAAATAAATGTTAAAAAAAAATTTTTTTTTAATAAAAAATTCTTTATTTATTTTTGAAAGAGCAAACACAGGCACATGAGCAGGGGAGGGGCAGAGAGGGGCACAGAGGATCCGAGGTGGGCTCTGCTCTGACAGCAGAACTCACAGACTGAGATCGTGACCTGAGCTGAAGCTGGATGCTCAACCAACTGAGCCACTCAGGCGCACCTTAACATTTTTTAAAACGGGAAGTTGTGTGCGTCCCTTAGATGTTGCTTATTTTCTTTCTACAAGAGTTTAAGAATGGTATCCATAAGCTTTCTGTCCTATCAGATTTGAATGGCTGGTCTTGACCAAGTTCATCTTCCCCATTTCATATCCCCACGAGTTTCTTTTCCCATAAATATGAGAAGCCCCCCCCCCCCCTTTTTTCCAAGTTTCCTCTTTCATCTTTATTTGGGAACATCCTGGGTAAAGTGTTCCTGGTGTCTGTCTACACAGTAGGTTCCCCCTTACCTGCAGTTTGACTTTCCATAGCTTGGGTGACCTGTGGTCCATAAAGCATTAGATGATCCTCCTGATCGGTCAGAAGGTCAACAGTGGCCTAATGCTGCGTCCCTGCCTACGTCTTTCCCTCACTGCGTCTGCTGCTCTGGGTGTCTCATCCTCTCCCATCCTCACTAGAATGGTGAGTACAGTACAAGAAGGTAGTTTGAGAGACCACGTTCACATAATATATCACGCTTGTTCTATATTATCGTTATCCTTGTTAATCTTACTGTGCGTAGTTTATAAGTCAATTTTATCACACGTATGTATGTATAGGGTTCGGTACCACCTGTGGATTCAGGCACCCACTGGGGGTCTTGGAACATATCCCCATGGGTAAGAGGGGCCTACTCTATCTTCTATCAATATTTAGAATTCACTCAACTGCACTTGAGTAAATTCTGCACTTTACGGCCCTTGAAACGATCTAAGGTGAGAACTATAAGGAATTAATTAATGCGAGCTCCTTAGAATGCTGGTGATGAGCCGTATATATTCATAAGTTGTTGTTTCTTTATGAAATATCGACAGTAAACCTTTGAGACTCTTTCTGCTCAGGTGGGTCAGTTTTTGAAGCTCCGGCAGTTCTTGATGGAAGCTGTCTGACTTACTAAAGAATCTTTAGGCTGACGATAGCAGCAGTAGGATCTCACAAGATCCCGAGGTGCCAGGTTTGGGCATCCGTGCTCCGGGCAGAGGCACCCAAGGCCAAGTAGAATCATCAGCGGGTCCCACCCCCACTCACGGAGTAAGGTAAGGACCGCCCAGCCTGCTCGGCAGTACAACGAACGGAAACTGTTCTTTCCGTGGATCTTAATTTCAAGACCGTTTGCCCTTGTCCTGTGACCTGTGAATGGCACCCTCCATTTATTTCCACAGTAGACGCGGGCTGAATTTTCTGAAGTGAGCCTATTAAAAGATTTAGATTGTCTACAAATCTGATAACGTTATTTCCACTGCCCTCATGTTGCATAACATTGGCTTTCGGGTGCCCCCAGTAAAAATCATTCTTCCGTTGTGTAGGTGGAAAAAGCAGTCATACTGAAACAAAACCCCCACGCCCTGCATTCTAGTGACCGGACTGGCACCAGTACTGGTTAAAACTGGAACTAGATCTTTTACATTTGGAAACATCTGACCCCTGCAGGCATTTTCACCAGAGTGAGTGACAGCCTGACATCTGGGGTGCTGCTTCCTGACCACACAGTTTATACCCATGGAGCCTGGTGGCAGCTGCAGGGAGAGATACAGGATTGCAAAACTGGCCATTTTGTGTTCACTCTGTTACAAGGCAATGGCGATGGATACTTTATGAAGGTTTATCCAACTCTGACTTTTATTCAGGCTTTTCTCCATATGCACTCAATCCAACCCTCCTAAGACCTTTGTACAGGTGGCACTTTTCAGGACTTTGTGCAGTGGTTACAAGCCGGGAGTTTTTTCCCCAACCAGTATACATAACAGAAGCCAAATGTTTGCTTCTTTGAATGTTTAGGTCATTACCCCTTTCCTCCGGATACATACATACTGCATTTGGAAATCAGTTGCTCCAATTCTAGATTCTAAGGCTCTGGGATATTCTGGGCACATTATACTTGCCCTTAAGCATGATCAGCTCGGGGCATCTCTAGTTTTATTCATGTTACAATTGTACGTAGTCTCATTGTTTGAAATGAGTTTTCACATTATAAAAAGGTATTTGTAGTACAGTTTGGATACATACGTTATGTTCATATCGACACTGACTCCTGGTGCTCCCCTTTCTGTGGATACCAGAGCCAATGTTGATACGTTATCCACTAAGGTGGCTATCATGCCACCATGCAGAGTGCCGTACTTATTGGCATGGCCGTCTTCTACTCTCATTTCACAAATCAGTTTCCCAGGGGTAGCAGAGACCAGAGTCATCTAAGTGTAAAAGAAAAAAAGAAGTTTGAACATGCTTTGGTATTAGGAAAGCCCAAACAGCCCATCAAGAATTATCGTCCGATTAAACTGAGTCACCCCAGGGCCTCGTGACTGGCTCAGTTGGTGGAGCGTGCGACTCTTGATCTCGGGGTTGTAAGTTTGAGCCCCACACTGGGTGTAGAGATTACTTAAAATCTTAAACTAAGTCACCCCAAAACAGTTGGACAGAAATTCAAATAAGTTGCCAATCTCTCTCTGATAGAAATTACCCCAAATATAAATTGTCTTAATCTTTTTTAACGTTTGCTTATTTTTGAGAGAGAGAGAGAGAGAGAGAGAGAGAGAGAGAGAGGCAGAGCATGAGCAGGGGAGAGGCAGAGAGAGAGAGGGAGACACAGACAGAACCTGAAGCAGGCTCCAGGCTCTGAGCTGTCAGCACAAAGCCCGACGTGGGGCTCGAATCCACAAAACATAAGATGACCTGAGCTGAAATCAGAGACGCTTAACCGACTGAGCCACCCAGGTGCCCCTCATATATAAATTATTTTTAAAGAAAAAGGAATATTTAGGGAAAAGACAGTAGTTTTTGTTAATCTTCCCTGCAGAAATCAAATATTCTAAGCTTTCCAGCCTTATGTATTACAACCTGACATCTCAATGTCTCCATAGAATTTTAGACCAAGAAAGCTAGCTGGTCCCTGTGATCTGTTAACCCATGATAGGTTTCGTTTGGACGTTCCCTAGTTTTTGCAGAGAGTAATTTTTATAATGACTTTGTAATGAATAGTTTAAAATAATTTGAATAGACTGGAAGAAATTCAGTAATTCAGTGAGTGTCTAGAATTCACAAACTTATACCATAAACCCATTTTAATATGCAAAGTTTCACAGAATCCAGAAGTTAAACTGCTTTTAAGATCCTGCCCCATTTATGGTATTATAAAGAAAAATAAGTACATAAAAGATAAAAAGGGAAATAATAAATTACAATTTTTATATCAAAATCTTTAAAAAGGAAAGTTTTGGGGACCCTGGGGTGGCTCAGTTGGTTGAGCATCTGGCTTCAGCCCAGGTCATGATCTCATGGTTTGTGAGTTAAGCCCCATATGGGGCTCTCTACTGTCAGCACAGAGCCTGCTTTGGATCCTCTGTCCCCTGTCCTCCCCTCCCACTCTGCCCACTGCCCACTCTCTGCCCACTGCTCCCCCCACCCCACTCACGTGCACACTCTCAAAAAATGTAAAAAAAAAAGGCTTTTGGAAAAATAATAGAAATATGTTTTTTATATCCTACTTAAATTACTAGGAAAAACGTCATAGCGTAAGATTGAGAAATTGGAACTGAGCTGTGAATGGGATGTGCTACATTTAGCAATGGTCATTTTTGCTGTTGCTAGAAATGTTCAGGCAGAATACAGATGAGTATTTGGTGTATCTGTTGTATTTGGGGGTGTGGGGTGTCTCAAGCATTAAACGATTAGGTTCTAGATAACCGCTATCTTAACTGAGCATTTTCCTATGCTAGGCTCTGTGGCAAACACTTAAATACTATGTAATAAGGAAGGGGTAGTTTCCACTGCTCCTTTAAGTAGGTAAGTGAAGTTCATGGTGGTTTGTTGTTGGGGTCACCCGTGATGGGACAGACCTGAAATTTAGATCTAGGTCTGTCTATCTTCAAGTCTCCCTAGACACTATAATGTCTCTGGATTTGCAGTGGCCTTTAACAGCTCCCACCAGGAAGACGCTTTGGAGTTTCACAAACCACAACTTTAGTGATTTTGCTGTTGTTTTTCCCCTGGAGAACTAGGCCCTGAGGTAAAACAAACACAGCCACACAATATAAACCATCCTAAACGATATCATGTCATGTTTTGCATAACAGGTAAGTCAATGGCAGATAATGTTAGACAGGATCAAGTCTATCCACACGATAAATGATGTAGCCACAAGGTGTCCTCGTAAACTACACATGGAACAGGACCAACGTGTACACTGCCCTCATTCGGGCATTTACACGAGTATGTTAAGCACTGACAACGTCAAGACAAATGAAATCAAATCCCTCCTCATAAGGGGTTCGCAACCTAAAGGAAGAGACCCGTACGCAGACCACTGCAGTGGGAGGGTTCCTGGAGAAGAGAGTACAGGTGGCTTGAAGGGCATCTAACTTTAATGGAGTATGTTTTTAGAGAACAGACATTAGGAAAGGCCTCCTGAGGGACAGGGAGGAGTGAGCCAAGTGAAGATGGGGAGCAAGCCAGACAGTTCAGGGAAGAGAACTGAAGGCAGTTGGGTGCCATGTGAAGGCCTCGCGTGTTGAGTAGAAATCAGTTAGAGATTATCGGACTTCGGCGGGGGTGACAGGAGGCCGTGCAAATGTCAGCTTGACTTTCTACTGCAGAATACAGTTTTTGACGGTTTTTCTTTCCCCCAACTTGAAAGGCCAAAGGACACAGTGGTACACACGAGTGGTTTAAAATACACACTGGAGTAGAGAGAATTTTGTTCCCGTCAGCCTGATCCTGCAAAAGAAATGCTTTTATGTGTCGCCCTCTGTCGTCTCCCTGGGTAAAATACAGGAATTAAGCCACTGGAAGCTAACAAAGGCATCGATGTCGGAGCCAGCCCCCAAAGCTAATCAATAGTCTCGTTGGGGAAGAGGCCCACGGAGAGCTAACCTCTCTCTGATGAGGAAGGGGGGTATGAGGAGAATCCTGTTAAAAAAAGAGAGCACAAATGATCTTGGTCTCAGTCAAGATACGGGTTATAGGGGACACGCTTGTTTGTTTGGTTATTAACCACGGCTAACTTTGGGTTCGAGACCACACTCCGCGACGCTGCACGCATTGTTTCCACCCGCACCCAGATCTCTGAAGTGGGTCCTGTTGTTTTCATCGGCCTCCCACATCTCAGGTTTAACTCCTCTGCAGAATCACCTCCCTTCACGGCTCACCTGGACTGCTGCGGGCAACCGGGTCCTGATGCGTCGGGTGTCACGCGGAAGGATAGCTGCCACGCCTGTTACGATGCAGCGGGGCCGAAACCAACAATGCTGAGAAGCACCCAGATACGTTCCATTCTCTGGGCCACCGCGGTACGATGGCAAGAACCTTTATGGCTCAGCCCAGTCCAACACGTGGGCTCCTCGGTTTATAGGAAAAATTACGTATGTGTGCCCACATACGATCACCTGTCCCTTTTCTGCACAGCCTGCAGCGGACTGCCTCTCCTCGGTTCCTCACGTGTTCACACGAGTTCCCACGGCTCCTGCCGCCAACCCTCCTTCCTCATCCCGCACACCCAGGCTCCGATCCCATCGCCGATAACCGTCTCCCCGTTCCTCCCTTACCTTTCCAGGAAAGACAGTGAGAAGGAATGCCTGATAATCAGCACGAAGGAGATGGCCCCCAACAGGAAGCTCCGTGCGGACCCCAGAGTTCTCCTTAGGCCTTGACGTTTCCGGTCATCCTGGTCCTGGTCCTGGTCCACAGTCATCACTGTGACTGCTGGTGATCGCTGTGCCGCTCACCACCCTGCCTCTGCTAATGAATGAAGACGTGTGTGTTCTCTGGCTCAGTGAGGGTGTCTGCCACGGGCCTAAAGGAGCGTGGCACGTGGCCTGAGAAAATCTGTGTATGTAACCACGCGAGTCAGCCACGGAAGGACGCGGAATACGAAAGACCGCGCTTAACACACAAAAGCACCGAGAACCGAGGAGGTCAGTGAATGAGAAGTTTATGTATTTGTGAAAGAGGTTGTCTTCAAGCAAGTTGTCCTGATGACAGACACTGCTGATTTCGTATGTGACGCAGTGCAGATACCAGAAGGAAGTGTCGGAGGACAACGTATAAATGTACCTTCATAAAAGCAGGAAAGGAGGGAGGAGCAAGAAGGCGGGAGGCACATCGGCAAACAGGCCAGTTACGGTAAGGGCCCCTAAGAGGGCATATGCTACAGAAGTACTGTGGCTCAACCATGTGCTGTAGCCGCCCAGCACTTGGGTTTTATAATGTGTGTTTTAGCGGTTTAATTGCACGGGTGGCTTTAGATCAATAGGCAAGAGCATCAGCTCTGGAGCCAGGCTGAGGCAAGATCCTTAACTGTGGTCAAGAGCAGGGTAACGTTCAAATTAAGCAATTGGAACACAGCCCGGCATATCATGGGGGATCGAGACATTTCAGTTCTCATCCTTGGTAAAGTTGGGACCCGAACACAACTGTGAAACCCCAAGTTGGTTTGTATAGTTTCACATTGGATTTTTCTTAAAATCGCCCGATTGGAACTTAGAATTTTCCAATTACTAAACTCATTCACTGAATGACCTCATGACTAAATTCAGTGGATATTTTTCAGGCCTTTGTTTACCTGACCACTCAGCATGTCAAGACATCCAAACCTTTTCCTGGCCTTTCCTGAACTCCCACGTCCACCTTCTCCTGGGTTTCCCCCTCCTCCTCTGTGGAGTGCCACAGTCCCTTTGCTGGCTCTTACTCTGCACCGCCCACCCGAGTCTTAGGGTCATCTTATCATCCGGCCTCATGAGACCACCAAAGGCCACACTGGCTTTCAGTTTCCCTCAGAAGGTTAGAGGACAGGTTCTCTAAAGTTAGGCACTATAATAGAGTTAATGGCATGGGCTTTGGGGCAGATACGTGGGTTAAGATCCCAATTACTAGCCGTAAGGGCTTAGAAAAGGTAAGCTTCGACTTTCTCGTGTATAAAATGGGGATGACAGTCACAGCATTGCCAGGAGGATGAAATAAAATTTGTAGGTAAACCAATCAGGCTCAGAGTACTCATATAACCAGGTACTGAATAACCAGGTGCCTTTCTGAAGGTGAATATGATCCCATGAGATCCCGTGTCTTATGTCCTGCAGTTGGGCTCCTTCCTGAGCAGATCCTGTGTACGTATCTGTAGAAGTACCAGCCCCCGGCCACGGGCAATCTCAGCTGGATAAAGTCTTCGCAGGGCAAACAGCCTACTGTGTGGAGCTGCCCCCAGCCCCAGAGTCCTCTCTCCTCTCTCTCTCCTGTCTCACTATCCATCAGCAAAATCCAAACTACCCATTGATGCCAAATCCTTTTCCCCTACCGTATCAGTAACTCTTACTTGAGCCCACAAGTCCTGTCTGCTCGACCTTCAGAGGAGCCAGAATTCACCACTCCTCACCCTCTGCTCTGGTCCAAGCCACCACCTCTGCCCAGTTCTTACAGCTGTTCCCAGGCTCACCTTCCTGCCTCTGCCCTTGCCTGCCTCATGTCTGCTCTCTCACTACCAACAAGAACGCTCTTTTCAAAATTCTGTCCCTCTTTCATTCAAGCCCTTCAAGGTGACAGCCACCTACTAAGCCATCCGATATCTCCTCTCCACCTTGTCCGCTTGGGATTCCTCCCGAAATACTGCAAAGACAGTGTTTTAAGTCTCTGAGCTCTTACGTTTGCTTTTCTGCCGGGAACACTCTTCCCCTTTGAGTGTCCATAACCTGCTCGGGTCTTTACTAAAGTGCCGCTATTTCGGCGACATCTTCCCAGATGACATGAGTTAAAACTGAACTCTCCATAACAGAACCCCACAGGAATACACGTTGTAGGGAAAAAATATTTAAGCTTTCCTGTCCCAATACTCTTTATCATTGGTCCCTGCTTTATATTTTTTTTATAGCACTTACCACCATCTAACATACTATATATTTGACTGACTTATTCTGTTTAGTGTTGAATTGACCACACTAAAATGTATGTTCCATACGTGGGAGGATATTTTCGTCAGTTTTCTTCACCTCTATATTCCTGGTGACTTGAATGGTGCCTGGCACGTAGTAGGCATGCAAGGGTTTGTTGAGTGAGTGAATACATTAGAATCTAAAGGCCAACTACAGGAGCATTCTGTAACAGTATGCCCAACATTTACTGGCACAGCAACCGACTGAACAGACTATCGGGAATATCTTCCGTGTGCCAGGCGGTCACCTCCCACTAGGCACTGACAAATACTTATTAAGCATCTACTAGGGGTTTGCTCCCAAAGAGTGCTCTTGACGTGGGGAGGAAAGACAGAAAAATAGGTATTTTCACTAATATACAGTAAGTCTCATAATAACAGTTAGCCAAGGTATTCAGCAGGGTCAGACAAAGACAGTTGGGGATGCCAAGGAAAGCTTTTCAAGAACGGAGGTGGTTGCCACTTGAAAAAGACTTTGAAGAGTAGAAATGGGGGGCCAACTGGCTCAAGGGCAGAGGATCCAAAAATAAGATGTTGTCCTAGTCCTTGGAGAGATAACTAGTAGAGGATGTAAGAGACGGCCAAAAATACAAAAGTTAGCAAGTGAGTGCCATGGGAGGCAAACAAAGCCCAAGGGAAGAGCTAAGAGGAATTTAACAAAATATTCCCATAAGAGTTGACCAGATGAAGTGACATTCTACTCTTGTTCATTGGAGTGGTGACAATGGTGACAGACATGCTTGTGAAGAAACATAAACCATCACTATTGTTTCTCAATGGCTGGTAAATGGCAGGCTTTATTGAATCCTTCTAGAATACCTATAAAGGTGGATTCTGTGAAGCCTCTATGGTATATTAATCACATTGGTAAGATTTCTCTCATATACAGGTTCTCTGCTGCCTTGAATCTGGAAAAGAGGGGCTAATAGAGAAGGACCCCGACACACTGAGGACTGGGGCAGGGTCTATACATGTCTTCAGATCTCCTCTCAAGGGGAAAAACACAGACTTGTGTAGAATTTTTGCAGGTGATCTACTTTAGAATCTAGTATCTGAAGACAGGTAGGAAGCCCTGCAGGAACGGAAATATGGTGAGCCAGGCCCAGCCAACAGTGGACTTGTCCTAGGACAGCACCACAAATCAAACAGCAATAAAGAAGTTTAAGTCATCTCTGTTCCCTCTGTATTCTGTATTCCAGAAATTCCTGCAATTCTCAGGGTGGTTGAATAAAAATTAGGCTACCTTTTTTTTTTTTTTTTTAAGTGTTCTGTGCTGCATTTCAAAAATGCATACATTTAGTTTTTATCAAAGCTCTCAGATACCTTTCTGAGGTCTTCAGGAACTGGAGGACTTGAATAAAAGGACTACTTGGACAAGTGGTAGAACATTTCAGCAGCATCTCATTTCCAGGTGTATGTAGAGCCACTAAACCTTGACTGTCTTCCACGCACGCACAGACATGTATAATCATTTCCCTTGAATTGATCCTCCATTCACCCACCCCTGCTACAGTTCTTAATTTCACAAAATATGTAGAGTTGTTCTGAACTGATGCCAAATCCCTTTTCCCTATGGTATCAGTAACTCTTGACTTGAGCCCATGATTTCACTAATTGTATCTTGACTCCTTAAATTCTATCTCTGAGCGATCTAAATTGCCACGTTCCTCCTCTTTATTAGATTTTTAACTGCAACGATCATTTCATATGAATAAACAGTGTAGAGATGCATTTTCCTACCTCCCACCCCTTCAGTGCCATGTATCCTGCAATATCATTCTCTAGACTTTTTCAAACATATATGCACATAGAAGGCTTTTTTCCTTTCTTTATATAAAATTACAAAGGTGGGATCACATGATACGCATTACTTTGCAACTTTCATTTTTCTCTTCCTGGTAGAATAGTCATGCTTGTAGCTCATATCACAGAAATCTTCTTTAATTGCTTTGTGGGATTCCCTAGTATTTGACTATATTAGATTTATTAAAGTATTGCTTGATATATGTTCTTTGAATATTTTTTACCATTACAAACAAAGATGCTTTTATTTGCGGAAGATAGATTACCAGAATTAGGTAGCTGGGTAAAAAGGTTATGTAAATTTTTAACCAATCTGCCAGATCACTTTTCAAAACCACTGAGTAAGAGTGCCTCATTCCCGAATTCATCCTCAGGAATGCATATTATTCCTCGTAATTGCTCTTTTTACAATATGATGGGCAAAATAACACAGTGTCTCATGGTTTAAGTTTGCCATTAGCCAGGTTATGGGTGCTGCTGAACAATCCTTCATGCTTACTGGCTGACTACTTAATTCTTTTCCAGATAGTTGTATTTTGACTTATTTATTTATTTATTCATTCTTTTTTTAAATTTACATCCAAGTGAGTTACCATATAGTGCAACAATGACTTCAGGAGTAGATTCCTTAATGCTCTTTTTTTTTTTTAAAGGAGGTTCTACACCCAGCCAGGAACCCAACACCAGCTTTGAACCCATGACACCGAGATCAAGAGTCAGACTGAGCTAACCAACTGAGCTAGCCACTCAGGTGCCCTGGATTTCGACATTTATTGTATCTCTTGCCATAAAGAGTTTAAATTCGTGAAATGCACAGTGCCAGACACATAGTAAATGCTATTATTGTAAATAAATATAACAATTTCTAATTTTATAAAGTCATACGCATCATTTAATGACATGCTCCTATGATAAGTCATTTTTTTAAAATGTGCCTTCTTTACATAGAGCTATAAGGGATTTCTTTCACCAGTTCCCCTATGGTTAGATATTTAGGTCGATGATGGTTAATGGTTGCACAACAATGTGAATGCAATTAATACTGAATTGTACACTTTAAAGTGGCTAAGATGACAAATTTTACATCATGTATATTTTGCTGCAATTTTTTTTTTAAAAAGGGGAGGATATGGGGCACCTGGGTGGCTCAGTCGGTTGAGCATCAACTTCCGCTGGGGTCATGATCTCGTGGTTGGTGAGTTCAAGCCCCCACCAGGCTCATCCCTGTCAAGCATAGAGCCCACTTCAGATCCTTGGTCCTCTTCACTCTCTGCCCCTCCCCTGCTTGTGCTCTCTTGTCAAAAATAAACATTAAAATAAATACATTGAAAAAAGTGGGGGGATCCACCATCAGTGTTTCCTGAACTTTTTTATTCATGGGACTCTTTTTTCTCAGGGAACAGTTGATGGGACTGGTACTTCCCTAGATCTCACTTTTCTCCTCTCCTGGATGATAAACTCCTAGAAGGCAAGGAACTGTGGTTGGTATTTCTTCATCATCTCACAGTACTCGGTTTGTCGACTGATTTTAAAGTGATCTTATAGCAAGAGCAGGACTTTCAGTGTTGGTTCTTCTCTATCAGTATTTTACAAAAGATAGGTTTTGTGGGTATCTATAAACATCAATAAACCACAGGTGGTTTTGTTTTTAGAACAGGCTAAAATAAAGAAGCTCCAATGTAAGATCTCGTGCACGAGGTTGACATCTGTACCAGGACTGATAGGAAGGTGCTTTCTTCAATAGGTCATTTTGGGAAGAACAGAAAGTCACCATCCTTTAGCAGATTCTATATGCTGGGGTACAATATCTGTCCAAAAACCAAAACTCCCCTTGGCATATTATCAGCCAAATTTTCAAGTGTTCTTCTATTTAATTCATTGGCTTTTAAAAAAATCATTAAAAGAATCAAAGGTTAGGACAGAATTTTCTTACCATATAATCAAGGAAAAAAAAAACGCAACTCTCTTTGGATGAGGGGTTTCTCTTTCTTGGGGTAGTTAGCTAATCTGGTAGAACCCAGGACTTCTGTTTTTCATGCTTATTTATAAATGATTCCTATGGAAGACCTGTGGGGCCACTGTGGGAACGGGGCAAGGGGCAGACGGAGAGCACTGAGGCTGCACCACCGCTTCTCACACTTGTTAATATTAAGAAACATCATCCCTCTTCATCTCTGCAAAAGCAGTGAAGTAAGCACACAGGTGTGTCTGAAAGATCATATGCATCCTTACTCCAATTTAGTTTTAACAAGGCGTTTGCATTAAATGCTTAAGAATGAGCATCCTTGCCTTGAAAAATCTCTGGTGTCATATTTAACCAAAGGGACAACTATTTGACATAAAATACTTTTGTCAGCCAAGGTCCAGGGACGCAACAGAAAGCACACTGGTTATTTTAACAAAGAGAATATAAATAATTGTTAGTAGAGACTTAGAGACAGACCACATTCTGTCTCATACCAAGACATGTGGAAGTCTGATCTGAACAACCGGTTCAAAGTTCAGTGCAAACTTGGAACGAGAGAGTAGCAATTTATCTAGTTTTAACCCAGCACAAAGTGAGTGATTAAAAAGGTTTTTTGACATCAGCACTATTGACATTTGGACTGGGGGATTTTTTTTTAATGTTAATTATTTGAGAGAGAGAGAGAGAGAGAGAGAGAGAGAGAGAGAGAGAGAGAGAAAGAGAGACGGAGCATGAGCAGGGGAAGGGCAGAGAGAGAGGGAGACCCAGAACCCGAAGCAGGCTCCAGGCTCTGAGCTGTCAGCACAGAGCCCAACACGGGGCTCCAAATCACAAACCGTGAGAAGTCTGACGCTTAACCGACTGAGACATCCAGGTGCCCCCTGCATAAATATATATTTTAGCCCTAGCAACTCTGCCCACACAAAACAAACAACCACAAATCCTATTTTAGATCAAATTAATACAGAGCACCTACAATGGTATTGACCTGTGCAGTTAGTATGACAGTCACTATCCACAACTCCATATTGAGCACTTGAGACATCGTCAGTATGAATTGAGATGTGCTCTGAGTGTAAAATTCACACCGGACTTCAAAGATGAAGTCCCCCCAAAATAATACTCTTTTGTATTGATAACATACTAAAACACTATCTTGGATATAATGAGTTGCTTAAAATATATTACTAAAATTAATTTTACTTATTTCTTTTTGTTTTATAATTTTATACATATAAAATTATGCATGTGGCTTGCACTTGTATCTTGCACTGTATCTCTGTTGGACAGTGCTGGGTCTAGAATAATTGGTATCACTACCCAACTTTAAACTGCAACATCTGAGAAACTCTATACATCTGGTTGAACAGGCATATCTTCTTGGAAGGCAAGTTACCACCAGTGCCGACTCAGGCAGGCACACACGAAGTTTAAGAGAATTTTAACCAGACACTCAAAGGCAAATCCAACCCATGACAAGATTATCATGAGAGGACACACATCCAAAAGGTTAACAATGAAAATGGCTCCAGAATTTTTAAGGAATTCAAACTTCCCCCCGAGTCCAATACTTCTTTCTTTGCATAAGAGATCTCTCAAAGGGTTAATTATAAAGTTGTGTATTGTGTTTGTTATTTTATCGTGTTTGCTATTTGAAAACATTAAATACATTTGCCTAAGTATTATCTCCTATGTTTTTCACAAAAGCCCTTACAGATAATTAGGGAAAGTTATTTACATGTTGAAAATACAGCCCAGGTGTTGTTTCCAGGAGGAAGACCTTGGTCTAATGCACCACATTCTTCCAATGAATGCAGTTGGTCTGTGTTTAAACTCCACTTTTAAGTGACCTATTTCCAAATGTCCCCAAACTCTTTCCTAATCAGAAGGAAAACAGGCATGCATGCTTTAAAATATTCAGAAAAAAACCTAAAAGTTCTTAGGTTGTTAAATGTCTTGCAAATCTGACATAACCAAGGGCTTGTTATTCATGCTTATTTATAAATGACTCCTATGGAACAGGATTTCTACACAGACCGCGAGAACTAGGAATCTGGGCTAGTCTGTTCATGTGGCAAAGTGGACAGGGGCTAGCCTGCCTAACTCTGTAGGGCCACTACACCAGAACTTGTCCTTCCTCCCTTACTGCAAGTTTTTACTTTCAAACACTCTAGGCTGCAAGTGCATGGTAAATATAGATTACTTCCCCCCGAGAGCACTACAGGCATTTGTTCAAGGGTTGAACTTTAAAGTCCTTTCTAGCTCTGAAACCGAGCAACTGTGTCTCCGGAACAAGTGATAATCATTCAAACAGTCCCCGACTTACGATGGTTTGACTTAGGATTTTTCAATTTTACGATGGCGTGAAAGCGATACACACTCAATAGAGACGACTTCGAATTTTGAGTTTCGATCTTTTCCCAGGCTAGCTACATGCATGCAGGACCATGCTCTCCTGACGCTAGGCAGTGGCAGGAAGCTCCCAGTCAGGCCCTCCATCAGGACGGTAAGCAACTATACTTAAAATTACTCTGTACCTATACAACCATTCCGTTTTTCACTTTCAGTACAGCGCTCAATAAACTACATAAGATATTCAACACTTCTCACAAAACAGGCTGTGTGTTAGACGGTTTTGCCCAACTGCAGGCTAAGAAGTGATCTGAGCAAATTTAAAATAGGCTAGGCTAAGTAAGCCATGTAGGCTAGGTATACTGAATGAAGTTTGGATGTGCCATATTTTCAATTTACAATGGGTTTATCTGGACGTAGCCCAATCGGAAATCAATGAAGACCTGTATTTATGTACATTTAGATGAAATAAACTATGCACTTGACCTAGCACATAATGGCTCTCCATAACAGTAGTAATCATCATTGCTGAATTTACCGGGGCATCCAACAGAATCTAGCGAGAGCTACTAATTTTCAGCGCAACCCGCCCCAAGCATCGTACTTCCGTTAGAAGCCAAGGCTTTGACTCCAATACCTTTTCCAAAACTCTATCAAAATCGCGACCACTGCCCATCGTCTTCAACAGCTCCAGCAGGTGCTGTGTCAAGCGGTTCATCGTGGACCGTTCCTGCTTCTGGGCACCGCACAAGAATGAACCTTGCAAGAGCCGGGAGCCCCGATGTGTTCGCAAAACACCAAGGGCGAGCAGGGCGAAGAAATCTCCGTCTTCCCCGCCCACTGTGCGCTCCGGGTCCGGCGTCTCGGGCTCCGGCTGCCAAGGCGTCAGGGGCTCGCGCTCTGAGGTTCCGACCCCGCTTGTGACCGTGCGCGCAAGCGCCGTTATATCCGCTCCCGCCCCTGCCGCCGCCCGCCCTCCCCCCGCGTGGCCACGCCCATCGCCCTCGGGGGGCGGAGCGCGTTTCCCGCCGGGCGGGTAACGCGAGTGCGCCGGGGCGGCAGGCGCCTGCGCAGTGCCCGGCGTCGGCCCCCGGCGAACGGATGGAGGGGCCGAGCGGCTCGGAGGTCACGCTGGAGGCGGACCGGGAAGAGGGCGAGCCCGAGGCGAAGAAGCGGCGGCTTCTCTGTGTGGAGTTTGCCTCGGTCGCGAGGTGCGACTCCGCCGTGGCTCAGTGCTACCTGGCCGAGAACGACTGGGAGATGGAAGTAGGCTTCGCTCCTCTCTCCCCCCTCTGTATCTCGGCCCGGGGAGCGCCCAGGTCCCACCGCTGTGTCTGTTTTTCAGAGAGCGCTGAACTCGTTCTTCGAGCCGCCAGTGGAGAACAGCGCCTTGGAAAGCCGCCCTGAGACCCCGGCAGGGCCCGGGCCCTGGTGAGTGAGCGCCGGGCGGGTTCCTCCGAGGCGGTGGGCGGGCGCTCCGGGGGAGCTCGAGCAGCTGCCTGCGGGCGGAGATGCGCCCCGGCGGCGCCCGGGTCCTGGTGAGTGTGCGCGGGGCTGGCGCGGAGCCCCCGGGGAGGGGCTCATGCAGGTGGTTGGGGTGCTGATGGCGCCCCCGCCGCGGGGCGAACGCGTCACCCCGACGTAATGTAGTCCGGGAAGGAAAACTTCGAAGCTTCCTTTTTGATTCGAGATCTAGGAACTGTGTGAGAGGTTCGAAATAAATGAATGAGGCAAAATCCTCTGTTGAAGAACGGTAACTTGGAAGTCTCCTGGCTTCCGGTGCGGTTTATCTACGTAGTTTTTTTTTTTTTTTTTTAAGGCACACCCGCCTTGTAATTCCACTGCTTGCCTCCCCAATTCCAGCCCTGCTGCCCTTCACGTCCAGGTGCCTTACGCATCCCTCCAGGTTGACCGCTGCCTATCCTTCCAGTTTTGTCTCCTCTCACCCTCTCTTTCTGACCCCACAAAAACTTAACAGGCATATCAGACTTTCGTTTTCTCCAGTGGGCCGTTTTCTCTTTTCAACCTTCGTAAAGATATTTATGACCTCTGCCCTGAACCTTTTCTTGGACTCTCTTCATGCTAAGTAGTATTTACCGTAAGGCCCGTCTTACCTCCAAGAAACTTTTCCTCTTAGGTAATCTTACAGCATCCTGCAGGATCCCGGTCATAGTAACTAAGTTCACATTCTAATTGCTACTTAATATTTTATATCTCCCACTAGGCTCCCCATTTGGTGAAGCCCATATCTGTCTTATACGTTGTTAATCTTAAGTCTAATTAATTAATCTAAGTCTAATTAATACTTAAGTCTAAGTAATTAATCTAAGTCTAATACAATATTTGGCATGTAATAAGCTCTCCATAAACATGTATAAAGTTCTCCCCGGTATGTGAGCAGCTGGTAGAGTTAACTTCATAGTGAAGACACATTTCTCCCGATCATCTTTTCGGCTGCACCAGTTTCCAGATGTGATAATTTCATTAGGCTCCTCTATCTGCCTAGCTTCTTACTGGGGGAATTGTCCACCCATCCACAGTGACAGAGCTGTGCCTCCCGTGTTGTAGTATTCACCTAGCCCAAGCTGGCCAGCCAGATCTTCTCTCCTGGGATTTCAAGATTAGGATAAAGAGAGTTCAGTCTAAATCTTCCTGTGGAGCTGGAACCATAACGTTGCTAACTTCGAACTTGTGCAGGAAAGAGGAGAAGGCTGGTTTGCAAGAGGCAGAATGAGGCTGAGGGAAGTTGAGTCAGATGGAGAGAAAGCCTTGATTGAACTTCCTTAGAGACAGCTGCATTCCAGAACCTGGCTCTGTGGCATGTTTCTGTTTCCTTCTAAATTCCTCTGGTGTGCTCAAACCAGCCTGAGTTAATTTATGCCATTTAGAATCTAAACTGTAACCAATAAAGAAATTGGAACAGAGGCACTTGATCTCAGGGTGGTGAGTTCAAGCCCCATTCTGGGAGAGAGAAAGGGGGGGGGGGGGCAGAGAAAGGGAGAGAGAGAACCCCTAGCAGGATCCCTGTGGTCAGCACAGAGCCGCATGTGGGGCTTGAACTCACAAACCGTGAGCTCATGACCTGAGTCAAAATCAAGAGTTCGACACTTAACTCTGCCACCCCGGCACCCCTAGAGCACGCAATTCTTGATCTTGCGGTTGTAAGTTCAAGCCCCCATGTTGGGTGTAGAGATTACTTAAAAATAAAATCTTAGGGGCTCCTGGGTGGCTGAGTTGGTTAAGTGTCAGACTCTAATTTCAGCTCAGGTCATGATCTCGAGGCCAGTGGGATTGAGCTCCACGTCGGGCTCTACTTGGAATTCTCTTTCTCTGCCCCTCCCCTGCATGTGCACTTTCTCTCTCTCTCAAAAATAAATATTAAAAATAAATAAAATAAATAAACATTAAAAAAATAAAATCTTGAAAGCAGAACAGAGGAAGTGGATTCCCTAAAATAGTCCCTCAAAAATGTGAAATCCAGCTGAGTAATGGTGGAACGGAAGGGCATTTGGAGTCCCTCTCAGAATTATAAATTGGGATTTTGGTAGCACAATTGGTGAAATTTGAATAGGTCTTAAAATTACATAATAATGTATCAATGATAATTTTCTGACCTTTAGTAATGCTTGGGTATATATGTAAGCCTGTCCTTGTTTCTGGGAAATACATACAAAAGTATTTATGCAAACATTTCACAATAAAAAGCAAAGCAAGTAAATGTTAAGTAAGTGAATGGTAATGTTTGTGTGGGTGAATGGTGAAAAGAATTCTTTTTACCCTTTCTAATGTTTTACTGAAAGTCTGAAATTATTTAAAAATACGTTAAAGTATTGTTAACTTGATTTATTGTGGTTACTTTACAGTGGTTACAAATACTGAATCATTATGTTGTGCAACAATTAATATCATGTTATATGTCAATTATATCTCACTAAAAAGTTTTAATTAAAAAGTTAAAATATTGGCATTAAATTTATTGAAGTTATAAATATGAAAACCTATTTCTGAAATTTATGTATGGCATGTAACTGCTTAGCAATCAACTTTTAATAATGGTTTGTGCCTCCACTCAAATATCTGGGCCTTGATGGAGGTGGTGTGAAATGGTTTCTCAGGACTGCGGACTGGAGCTTATATGTTTGGCCTCTCCAGCATGTAGTGTCTCAGACTTCTCATGTGGTATCTTGCGAGAGAGCGTTCCAAAAGGCTCGAGTGAAAGCTGCAAAGTTTCTTATGACCAAGGCTCTGAAGTCCCAGGACATCCTTTCCATCCTATTCTGTTGGTCAAGCAAATCACTAAGGCAAAGATTCAGGGAGAGAGCTGTTGGACCTCCCCTTTCAATGAGGGGGTAACAACACATTTGCAGCTGCTATTCACAAAGAGATCTTACTTCATAGGTTTCCTCTGTGTCATTTATGATGTAAAATAAACCCACATTTGGAAATCTTATATTGCTCAGTCTGACTTTAGGTCATAGTTTAAAAAATCATTTTAGGAGTGCCTGACTGGCTCAGTCAGTTAAGCATCTGACTTCAGCTCAGGTCATGATCTCGCCATCCATGAGTTAGAGCCCCGCGTCGGGCTCTGTGCTGACAGCTCAGAGCCTGGAGCCTGTTTTGGATTCTGGGTCTCCCTCTGTCTTTGCCCCTCCCCTGCTCACGCTCTGTCTCTTGCTCTCTCAAAAATAAATAAACATTAAAAAAAATTTTTTTTAAGTCATTTTGGTGACATTGAGGGATATTGAGTTGGCTACAATTATATAAGTGAACAATATTTAGATAACAATAAGAATCTTTTTTCCGCAGTTGTATGGCTTCTTCTCTTATATAGACAGATACTTTTAGGACTCTTAAAATTTATTTATCTGTAAAATGAGGGCTACAAATAGTTAGAAAATAATTTCAAATTAATCAGTTTATATAGATGATTTGCAAAGTTGTGTTTCATTGTGATCTTGCCAGTGTTGATCTAACAAATGAAGAAACAACAGATTCCATTAGTTCTAAAACCAGCACATCTGAAGGTATTCAGCAAGAGGATGGCAGCACGTTCTCTTTCATTACCTGGAATGTTGATGGATTAGATCTAAACAATCTGCAAGAGAGGGCTCGAGGAGTGTGTTCCTATTTAACTTTGTAAGTATTATTACTTAGATTTAATGGTAGCATGATCATGTTTTTACCATCTACAAAAAGGGTAAAGGTCAAGGTTGTGGGCGTTGGCATCAGATCTGAGTTCAAAACCCAACTCTCCAAAGACGCATGTGAAAGAGCGGAGAGTGATTGCCTCTAGGTGTGGGTGGGCAGGGGAGGGAATGCTGATTTTTGTTAGCAGCCTTCTAGTACTGTTTTCCTTTCTAAACCTGTATGTAATTATTGCTGTGAAAATAAAATTACCAAGGTCAACTGTATCTGCTACACACTGGCTCTGTGACCTTACATAATCACTTGTGAGCTGCTGAACTTCTCTGCAGTTCAGTTTCCTTCATCGTGGATAATAACTGGTGAGGATTAATAACTTTTAAAGCATCTCATGGGCCGTTATTAGGCTCTCAGTACACTGATTTCTATTATCTATGATTCCACTTCTTTCCAGTTTAAAGTGTTATGTATGTTTTTCTTTTTTAATTTGATGTTTACAGTGTTTGTTAAATGGCACAGATCTTTCTGATTTTATAATTCTCAAAGGTCAGTGTAAAGATTGAATATTAGATCTCCTAGGGGGCAGGATATTTTGCTAATCTAAGCGGCAGCACATGAAATAGTTTACCTGGTATTTATCATAAATTGCTGTTTTGAATTAGGTATAGCCCGGATGTGATATTTCTCCAGGAAGTCATCCCCCCGTATTGTAGCTACCTAAAGAAGAGAGCAAGTAGTTATGAGATGATTACAGGTAACACTTTTCGTCTTACTGTCTTTGTCTCTGGAAAACAGTCAGTGAAAGAGGTAAATCAAAAGTTAGCCCATAGGAGCACACACAGGAAAAAGCAAAAGTAAGTATGAGAAAAGTAAGCCAGATGCAGGGTACTAGGAAAACTGTAGGAGGATATGTTATACATCTTAATATATGTGAAAAGTGGTGGTTGAAATGGATGGTTTTTCAGGAAAATATAAATTGCAAATATTTGAGACCTTGAGTAGTTTTTTGGTAAAATAAATTTATTAAATTGAAGTGTGATAATTGCTTTTTCAAAAACTCTATTCCTTTTCATTGATTTTTGTTTTTTTCCTAGCTTTTTTGCCCTGAATAGTTTTTTGATTTTCCATCTATTTTGTTCTTAATGAGTACATTTAATATACCAAACCAGCTACATTCCATGATATTTGGCTAAATCGTGTGTTTTCTTTGACTTTCGTTTTTACATAGTATGTAATTGTAATTTTGATTTATTACTAAATTCACAATTGCTAAGCAGAGGGTTCTCTCTCAGTCTCTGTGTTTGTCTTTCTCTCTGTCTTCGTTGGACAACTTTCCTGCATTCTCTTCGGGATTCTTTTTGACTTTCTTCTGTTTTGGATTTCTTGTTTTCTGAATCCCATGCTTTCCTCCTCCTTGGTTTTCTTCCTCGTTTTATTAGTCTGTTTTTGATATATTGTGCTGAACACGTGGTAGGAACTTTCAAACTGGAGGATTCTGGTAAATTCAGTTCTGGTAAATTCTTTTCCTCTTCCTCTTCTTCCCTTCCTCCTCTGTCCCTTTTTCTCTTCCCTCTCCCCCTCCCTTTCCCCTACCAGCTTGCCCCCTTGCTTGCCAGGTTTCTAGTCCATGTGGCTGTTGTTGACCTTCTCCCTCCTTTTCTTCCTCCCTTCTCTCCCTTTCCACTTTTCCTGGTTTTTCTCTGTTTAGATAAACCACTTCTCGCTTCTTCAGCTACTTTGTTTTCTGAAAAACAGTTGGAAGCTTTTATTCACTGCCGCTCTACTTCTCTTCTCACAACTTTATACCTTTCTAAATTTTTTATTCATTTATCATTTTTCTGGTGCTTCCAGAGTAAGAAGTAAATCCATGTCAGTTTGCCTCAGTGTAAGTTTCATCTACTTTTTCAGAAATTGCTCAATTTTTTATTTGATACTGGCATCATTAACTATTTTTAAAATTTCTTTTTAATGTTTATTTAATTTTGAGAGAGAGAGAGAGAGAGCACTTGTGCAAGGAGGGGAGGGGCCGAGAGAGAGGGAGACCCAGAATCCGAAGCAGGCTCCAGGGTCTGAGCTGTCAGCACAGAGCCCGACGCGGGGCTTGAACTCATGAACCACAAGATCATGACCTGAGCTGAAGTCGGAGGCTTAACCAACTGAGCCACCCAGGTGCCCCCAGCATCGTTGACTATTTTGGGCACTTATGTGAATTCATTTTCATTTTTATATTTCTTCCATACATCAAGCTACATTTTGGGAAGGGGCAGGTAAACATAGGGACTCGATTGGCCATCTTCAGCTGTGTTGAAATAATAGTTTACTTTGAAGATTCATACCCATTTAAATATCTGTACTTACTTGTTATAAAATCTTCAGCAGGAGAACTTGGGATAAACTTGGGATATTCTTGACTTCTCAGCCTAAATTCTTTTCCACAAACATTTGAAGGTCATGAAGAAGGATATTTCACAGCTATAATGTTGAAGAAATCGAGAGTGAAATTTAAAAGCCAAGAGATTATCCCTTTTCCAAATACAAAAATGATGAGAAACCTTTTGTGTGTGTATGTAAGTAATTTTTAAAAATTGACTTTTTTTTTTTTTTTAACTGGTTTCTTACAGTTCCACTGTGGTATCTTTTTTTTAAAAAAAAAATAATCCGCCTTTATAGAAAATTTTCTTTTCTAAATTCTTTTAAATAGTCTTAACACTGTAAACTAAGTTTTTACATAAATTACAAATATAAATTTGTGAATATAAAACCCTGATCCATTGGATGTTTTCCAAAGAATATTTAAGAATTTAGAGCTGCTTGTCTGGGTAGAGCCAGGTAGAGCACGCAACTCTTGATCTTGGGGTTATAAGTTCGAGCCCCGTGTTAGGCAGGGAGCCTATGTTAAAAAAAAAAAAAAGAAAGAAAAATGGAATAAACATAGTATAAATATTTAGAAAAAAGAATTTACTAACATTCCACATTTACTTCCTAAAGTGGTTCTTTTTTTCCTAAATGCATTCTACATGATAGTGTACCGTACTCTGTAAGCCTTACAAGAATGAATCCAAAGATCTTGCTCTTGTAGCATTTATAGATTAGCAAGAGAGAGATTGTGTTGTATAGTAACTAAAATAAAGGAAAAGCATAAATGCCACTGGAGGAAATGTAATGCTGACCATGGGAGTTTAGAGATAACCTTAAGCTAGATCGTTTTTTGTTTTTTCATTGAGATATAATTGACGCAACAGTATACACTTCCAGGTGTACGACATAACGATTCGATATTTGTATATGTTGTAAAATGATCACCGCAGTAAATCCAGCTAACAGCTGTCCCCATATATAGTGACAACATTTTTGTGTGTGTGTGATGAGATCAGCTAGGTTGTTCAGTGAAAGTTTCATGAAGGAAGTTGTATTTGAATTGGGCCCTGAAAAATATGTCAGAGGTAGGCGTTAAGAACAGTCCAGGTGGCAGAACCACCGTGAGCAAACTTTTGCAAATTGCGCATTGCAGGATGTGTGTGTGTACATAGGTCTATGTGAGAAAGAACATACAGGAGCGAAGATGAGCCTTGTATTCAGTTGGACATAGATCTATATGAGAAAGAACATACAGGAGTATACATAAGCATTGTATTCAGTTGGGTGTAGACGGCATGAAAAGGGGTCGTGTGACAAGAGATTGGTAAAGTAGGTTGGATCCAGGTTACAGAAGGTCACGAATACCCAGTATGAAAGAATTTGGACTTGATTCTGCGGGCACTTAGTGTGAATAATGACAGAGCCTGCATTGTCGGTATCTAAGTAGTAAATGATTTTCATTCATTCATTTAACTGATCTTTTTCGAGTGCCTATGTGCCAGGCTGTTGATAATAGCAGAAAATAAAAGAACCATCTTTGCTCTCAGATGACTCATGACTTTGTAGGAGAGAAATCACTGTGCTGTAATTCAGCCTAGGGAACTTTAAAAACAGTCTTTCGAGTATGCTATAGGAGTATAGAGGAGGGAGCCACTGTCTGGGGATGCTGAGGAAGGATCACAGGGGAGGTGACATTTGAGGTAGGTCTGGAAGTACTAGTGGCTGTTTGCTAAGTAGTCTTCGGGAGCAGGATTAGCACTTTATACCTTGACCTAGAAAGATGAGCACAATGCTGATTATATAGTTTTGCCTTAGCAAATACATACTAATGAGCCGAGTACTTGGCTGATTCTGTTCTCAAATTTCTGCATTAGTGGTTGGTGAGTAATTTTAACAACTATATTTATCCTGTTGCAGGCAAGTGTGTCAGGAAACGAACTTTGCCTTATGACTTCTCACTTGGAGAGCACCAGAGGGCATGCTAAGGAACGAATGAATCAGTTAAAAATGGTTTTAAAGAAAATGCAAGAAGTTCCAGCGTCAGCTACAGTTATATTTGCAGGAGATACAAATTTAAGGGATCACGAAGTGAGTGACAAAGTATGTTCTGTGCTTCTGGGCGCTACTGCTGTGGAGACTAATTTGGGTTTCTTCTGACCAAAGCTGTTAAAATGTGTAAGCGGTCTTCTAGGTGCAATTCAGCAAATACTCACTTAGCCTGTGCTGTGAGCCTAGCGTTGCAGAAGCAGGAGGAGCCCTTAGATTATTGGGAAAAACACAAATACTGCACTTGAAACAGACAACACAAAGCAATACATGTTGATTAAAAAGAGGGGTATAGAGAAAATAATAAATCAAAGTTTAGAAAAGATCCAGTTTATCTGCTGTGTCTCTAGCTGCAAGATGAGAAGAACAGAAAGATTTGACCATCACAGTTGTCCCTACTTCTCTTCCGGTTTTCTTTTTTCAACTTTTTTTTTTTTTTTTACTCCCTTTTCCTGGTGCGACCGTGCCTAGGTCTGAAACGCTGTCCTTTCCTTTAGTTCATTTGAGACACATTGGGATTTTTCAGGGCCTCTGTAGACTTAGATCATATTAAATGGTAAGCCGGCCTTGCCTTTTCCCCCAACTCTGGCTGAACGCATATCAGATTAGAAGTGTTCATTTCACTGCTGAACGCTCCAGGCGTGGAGGAAGTGAAACGAGCAATGAAACCATGTCAGGACTTACTTCCAAAGTGAGGGCAATACCCTAAATAAAGAAGGTGGTGCTCTACTTCTCTTTGTGATTTTGTGTCCTTGTACACAGATTATAAAAGAAAATCAGATGGTCTATTGGACTATTTGCAAATCAGTGACTTCATGGTAGCTGTTTTGTGATACCTGGTTGATCGGGTTAAAAGAAAAATCCTGCTTTTCAACAAGTGTTGGGAAAACTGGAAATCCACATGCAAAAAAAACACTTGGATCCTTACTTTATACCCTATACAAAATGTGTTCAAAATGGATCAGTGACCTACAAGAGCTAAAACTATAAAACCTTTAGAAGAAAACAAAGGGGAAAAGCCTTGTGATACTGGATTTGGCAACGACCTCTTGGATGTGACACCAAAAGCATAGACAACAAAAAAAAGATGGCCTTCATCAACATTAAAAACTTTTCTGCATCAAAGGACACACAGATTGAAAAGGCAGCCCATGGAATGGGAAAAATGTTTTGCAAATCATGTGTCCGGCAAGTGAGTAATATCAACATAATTAATATTGATATTATAAAAAGAATTTCTGCAATAAAGAAACAACCTGGTTTAAAAATGAGCAAAAGACCTAAATAGACATTTTTTCAAAGAAAACCTACAAATGGCCAGTGAGCACAAGAGAAGATGCTCAGCGTCACTGATCATTGGAGAAATGTGAATCAAAGCCATCACGAGGTATTACTTGACGTCTGCTGATATGAGTATTATCAGAAAACCAGAGAATAACATATTGGCGAGGGTTTGGATTGGAACCCTTGCGATGGGGATAAAATGGTAGAGCTGCCATGGAAAGTGGTGTGTTAATTCCTCCAAAAATTAAAACCCTTTTCATGTGGTCCAACAATCCCATTTCTGGGTATATACCCAAACAAGTAAAAGCAGGGTCTCGAAGGGATATTTGTACACCTGTGTTGATAGTAGCATTACTTTTTTTTTTAAGTTTATTTATTTATTTAGAGAGAGCAAGCACGAGCTGGGAAGGGGCAGAGAGAGGGAGAGAGAAAATCCCAAGCAGGCTCCATGCTGTCAGCGCAGTGCCTGACATGGGGCTGGAACTCACGAAGCATGAGATCATGACGTGAGCTGAAATCAAGTCAGCTGTCTAACCAGCTGAGCCACCCAGGCACCCCTATTGCAGCATCATTCACTGTAGCTAGCACCTAAGTGACCATTGACAGATGAGTGGGTAAACAAAATGTACATGCCTACAGCAGAACATCGTTAAGCCGTAAAAGGGAAGGAGACACATGCTGTGGGATGGATGAGTCCTGGACATGCTAGGTGAGGTAAGCCAGTTACAAAGAGGACACATTTTATATTTTCTCCTATGAATTTCCTAAAGTAGTCAAATTCATACAGAAAGTAGGATGGTGGTTGCCAGGGACTGGGGGAGGATGGAATGGGTAGTTAGGATTTAATGGGTATGGAGTTTCAGTTTGGGAAAATGAAAAGGTTCTGGAGCTGGATGGTGGTGATGGTTGCACAATTATGGCGATGTACTTAGTGCCATGGAACTGTACACATTAAAATGGGAAATTGCACGTATGCAGGCCTACCTCGGAGGTGCAGGTTCAGATCCAGACCCCCACATTAAGCTGGATATCGTAACAAAGCAAGTCAAATGAATTTTAGTTTCCCACTGTGTGTACAAGAATTATGTTTATACTGCTGTAGTCTATTTATTAAAAAGAAATGTACTTGTTAAAAAGGTATGTACATTCAAAAGCAATGTACATACCTTAATTAAAATTATTTTATTGGTAAAAGATGCTAACCATCATCTGAATTTTCAACCAGTCATAATCTTTGTGCTGGTGGAGGGTCTTGCTCTGATGTCGGTGGCTGCTGGCTGATCAGGGTGGTGGTTGCTTAAGGTTGGGATGGCTGTAGCTATTTCTTCAAATAAGACCATGAAGTTTGCTGCCTTGACGGGCTCTTCCTTTCACAATTTCTCTGTACCATTGCTGTGCCTTTTGATAGCATTTTACCCACAATAGACCTTTCAAAATTGGAGTCATTCCTCTTAAAGCCGGCCACTGCTTTATCAACTAAATTTACATAATATCCTGAGTACTTGGTTGTCATCTCAACAGTTTTCACCGCGAGTAGATTCCATCGCAAGAAACCACTTTGCTCCTCCGTAAGAAGCACCTCCTCATCCGTTCAAGTTTGGTCCTGAGACTGCAGCAATACCATCCCTTATTCAGGCTCCACTCTAACTCTAGTTCTGCTGTTTCCATCACATCTGCCTTAATTTCTCCACAGAAGTCTTGAAAACCTCAACTCCGAGTCACCCGTGAGGGTTGGAATCAACTGTTCCAAAGTCCTTCCTGTTCATGTTGACATTTTGACTTTTTCCCGTGAATCATAGGAAAATCTTCCAGAAAGTTTTCAATTGATTTTGCCCAGATCATCAGAGGAATCACTGTGTATGGCTGCTATAGTCTTATGAAAGGTACTTCTTAAATAATAAGACAAAAGTGGAAATGACTCCTTAACCTGTGGGTTGCAGAATGGAGGTTGTGTCAGCAGGCGTGAAAACATTTATCTTCCTGTCAATCTCCACCAGCTCTTGGGTGACCAGGTGCATTGTCAATGAGCAGTAACATTTTGAAAGGATTTTTTTCCTGAGCAGTAGGTTTCAGCAATGAGTAAACCATGTTGTAAACAGATGTGCTGTCATCCAGGCTTTGTTCCATTTGTAGGACACAGGAAGAGTAGATTTAGCCTCATCCTTTTTTTATTAAGTTTTTAATTCCAGTATAGTTAACGTACAGTGTTATATAGTGTCAGGTGTACATTATAGTGTCTCAACAATTTCATACAGATTTGGCATAATTCTTAAGGGCCCTAGGATTTTTGGAATGATAAATAAGCATTGACTTCAACTTCAAGTCAGCTGCTGCATTGGCCCCCAACAAGAAAGTCAGCCTGTCCTTTGAAGCTCTGAAGCCAGGCCCTGACTTCTCTCTAGCTGTAGAAGTCTTAGATGGCATCTTCCAGTAGAAGGCTGTTTTGTCTATGTTGAAGATTTGTTTATCATAGCCACCTTCATTAATTCTCCTAGCTGGATCTTCTGGAGAACTCGCTGCGGCTTCTGCCTCGGCACTTGCTGCCTCCCCTGGCACTTTTATGGATACCGTGTCTTTCCTTAACCTTTACGAGCCAACCTCTGCTAGCTTTAAACTTTTGCAGCTTCCTTACCTCACTCGGCCTTCATGGAATTGAGAGTCAGGGCCTTGCTCTGGATGAGGCTTTGGCTTAAGGGAATATTGTGACTGATCTATCCAGACCATTCAAGCTTTCTCCATGTCAGCAATAAGGCTGTTTTGCTTGTTATTCCTGTGTTATCTGGAGTAGGGCTTTTAACTTCTTCCAAGCACTTTTCCCTTGTATTCACAATTTGGCTAAGGGGCCTAGTATTTGGTCTGTCTCAGCTTTACATATGCCTTCCTCACTGAGCTTAATCATTTCTAGCTTCTGATTTGCAGTGAGAGACAAATGACTCTTCTTTTCACTTGGACACTTAGCGACCATTGTACGTTGATCAAACAGCCTCATTTCAGTATTGTGTCTCAGGGGAAAGGGAGACCTGAGGGGAGAGAAGAGGTTATGTGGAGCAGGGAGAACACACGCAACAAATATTAAGTTCACCGTCTTCTATGGGCACGGTTCGTGGGATCCCCAAACAATTAACGGTAACAGCAAAGATCCCGATCACACATCGCCGTAGCCGATGTATAATAACAAAGTTTGAAATGTAAACATCACCAAACCTGACATGGAGACGCACTGTAAGCAAATGCTGTTGGGTAAATGGCGCTGATAGACTCGCTGCCTGCGAAGTGGCCACACACACCTGCTGTTTGTAAACCAGTATCTGTGAAGTGCAGTAAGGTGGAGGGCGATAAGAGGAAGTATGCCTGTTATTTTATTTACCACAATGCAAAATCTTTAAATCCTGGAGTGTGAATAGAAGGAAGAATTGATAGTAAATTTCAAATGACACTGTGAAGGCAGCTCACATTATTGGATCATATAAATGGGATATGTCTAAATTTATACACTAGAGTAACAGTTTTGCCTACTTTTTACTTGTGTTCATTTTAAAAAAAATAAATAGCAATAACCGAGGCTATGGGCTTGCAACCTTCTAAGTTTTGTCTGATATCCGAAGTTAGGAGTCTATGACAGAAGAGAAGGGGCAAATTTCAGATCTCTCAGGCTATCTTGATTATTTTTATATTACCTACTTATTACTGTACAGCAAAATATTTTTTAGAATATATATCTAGTCTTGCATTAATTTATGACATTCTGATTTGAAATGTTGGTCTTAGACATAGAAAAAAACCTTTTTAATTTAGGAGAAGAAGGACTGAATCTTAAAGAATTGTCTTTTTCTTTTCAGGTTACCAAATGTGGTGGTTTACCCGGCAACATTTTGGATGTCTGGGAGTTTTTGGGCAAACCTAAGCATTGCCAGTATACGTGGGACACACAGATGAACTCTAATCTTGGAATATCTGCAACTTGCAAGCTTCGTTTTGATCGAATATTTTTCAGAACAGCAGCAGAAAGTGGTCATATTGTTCCCCACAGTTTGGACCTCCTTGGGTTGGAAAAACTGGATTGTGGTAGATTTCCTAGTGATCACTGGGGTCTTCTGTGCAACTTAGATGTGATATTGTGAAATGCCTTTCAAATAAGAGTTTTGCATCTTATGAGTAATTTCATTCTGGGTTTTTCCAAATGTAATTTTATCTGTCTGGAAAGGTAGGCTTAATAGGGAGGAATTAATGTACTAGATCACTGTAACAGAAGAAAACACTACTGTGATTTTATTTTGTGGACTGTGTCCTCATATTTCAGAAGTAAATATTGATGTTTATTTACATTAAAGCTTACCTGGTGTTCAGAATATGAGACTTCTTCATAAAAGGCCACCAGGACCGTTGGAGTTTTTCATAGTGCTCAGGGTTACCAGCTGGTTCTCAAGCAGGGCCACGTCTCTATCTGGGCTAGCCTTTGTAATTTGTTGATTTTTAAGATCAGGCACCAGAGAGTTTATATTTTAAGTAAATCTTTAAAAATAAAAGTAAGAGGTTATTGAGTTTGGGGGATTGGATCTTTTCATTATGTTTTAGAAATTCAGGTAATTGTAAATGAAAAAGCCATGATTATGTACGTTTAAGTAGATGATAGGTATCCCACCATAGACTTTGTTTTCGTCAGCTAACAGTACATATTTGCTAAGCTCTAAGTGAAACCTTAGGACTTGAAATTTCTCAACTTTTTAAAATTCATGTTTGTCAACATCGCCATTTGTGTTGCCAACAGAGGCAAAGTTAGACCTGATAATGATTAAAGTCAGTTTTATAGCTGCATCGGACCGGATATCTTTTCTAAGAGAAAAATGAATGTGTAAAGAGAAATCAGTTTTTAGTTTTACTTATAAAATTGAATTATTTTACAGGAGAGGGATAAGGAGCACTTTTAACTGTGCTTTAAAAAACACTTTTAAGAGAAGTGTACTTTAAATAAAGAATTATACTTGTTTATAGTTTTAGTATGCTTTTGTGTCCACGATGGGATTGAAGTTTTTACCTGCTTCCTATTTTTTACTCTTCCTGTTTCTGACTGCTGCTACTCACCTCTCTGAGAAAGAAAACAGCTTCTATGAAGCTTCTTCCACCAAGAACTACCAAGCACACGTTGATGTCCTCAGTATAAAAAAAGGAAAGCCAGTGGGAATGATTAGAATGAAAAGTCACAGAGCCTCATTTTCAGCAGGGGTATCAAAATTAACAACCAAACCACCTGATAAAAGACAAACTGAATTTATGCATGATATTCTCTTTGTAGTGACGATGGAAAGGAGTTTTATATGTTACTTATTTAGTCATTTAGAACGAAAATGCTAATATTATAGCATACATTACGGAGGCAGTAGTTCATTTTTATAGGAAAAGGATGTTTGGGGCATAAAATGCTTATTCACTGGGGTTCCTAGGTGGCTCCGTCAGTTAAGCATCCTACTCTTGATTTCGGCTCAGGTCATGATCTCATGGTTTGTGAAATCGAGCCCCACGTCGGGTTCTGTGATGACAGTGCAGAGCCTGCTTGGGATTCTTTCTCTCTCTGCCCATCACCTACACACCCTCTCTCTCAAAATAAATAGAGTTATCAGATTGAAAACCTTGAAAGGAACTCCAATCCCTTTACATGACTGAGCATTCAAGTGAAATACCTTCCCATTTGCTGTTCATAGTGACAGAATCTAAGAAGTTTTATGTGATGGGAATAGGAACAATTAGACCAATTTTAGTCAGCTTTCCCAAGAATTAAGACCCTACTAATTTACTGAAATCATTATTGCACTGTATGCTAACTTGGGTGTAAATTAAAAAAATAAAACTATAAAAGTAAATAAAATTGCCAAGAATGGCCTGCTCATTAAGGAAAAAAAGGAAAAGATGGAGCACCTGGGTGGCTCCATTGATTAAGCATCTGACTTCGGCTTAGGTCATGATCTCACGGTTCATGAGTTCAAGCCCCGCATCGGGCTCTGTGCTGACAGCTTGGAGCCTGGAGCCTGCTTCAGATTCTGTGACTCCCTCTCTCTCTCTGCCCCTCCACGGCTCACACTCTATCACTGTCTCTCTCAAAGATAAAACGTTAAAAATTTTTAAGAAAAAGAAAAAGGAACTACTAATCTGCAATATCTTGGATTTTTTTTTTTTTTTTTTTTTTACTTTGGATTTCATATTTTCCAGCATGGTATATCTGAGTACCTTACTTTCCTTGGGGGAAATTCCAACTCAGAATCTTCTATTTATTTCAGTAGGCTAAATACCATCTTTGCCACTGATGTGGAATGTACTTGAAGCTTGCTAGACTTCAGTTCCTCCCACCTTCCAAAACAGGACAATTCTGCCTTTCCTGTACAGTTTGTGCTAAGACAAATGTCTCAGCCAACAGCATGTAACGAGCAAATGAAGCCAGAAAAGCTATACTAAGGATACCTAATTTTACCCTTAATAGTTCTTGTAGTCTCTGGCATGTATACATGCAGGAGCTCAATAAATGCCCATTAAATCCCAAAGAGAAGTGAGAGACAATGGCCTAACATTAATGTCCTAGGGAGGCAGACTTTTTCATGTAGTGCCAAAATAGATACTAAATTCATTATATATATTATAATAATAAATATATAATATAATAATTATATAAATATATATTATATATATACGTAAGGTGTGTGTATGAATATATATATATATATATCAAAATAGGCATTCATTGTAATGGCACTTGAGTTAGAAGATTAAATTCTAACCTGGGCTAAGCCCATGTATATTAAAGATCTCTGGGAACAAGCCTATGGTCTAAATTGGATTTGTTGGTGCAGTGAGAGGGCACTCTGAGGGTATTGTGGAAGGCCAAGTGAGAGGACAAAGGGCAATGCCTTTTGTGAGGTTTAGGTTCCCGCTGAAGGATTCTGGGGAGGTCTTGGATTCGGAGATTGGTTCCTGTACCTTACGGTTTCAGAGGTAGACTAGGAAAAGAAAGGGGCTGACTCAAGATTGGATTCTATCATGAGTAGACGAGAGTTTAGCAATTGGGCCCCACCAGTTAGGAGTGGGAATAGCCAAGCAAAGGGGACCTCTGTGGTGAGAAAGTAATAGTTGTTCACAAAGGGGATTGTTATGTTGTTTTATGGCCTGAGCTTGGGAAGGGAAGGTTTTTTTTGTTTTTTTTTAAGTTTATTTATTTTGAGGGAAAGCGAGACCATGAGTGAGTGGGAGAGGGGCAGAGAGAGGGAGAAAGAGAATCCCAAGCAGGCTCAGGCTGTCGGCCAGCACAGAGCTGGATGTGGGGCTGGAATTAACTGAGATCCTGACCTGAGCGGAAGTCAAGAGTGGGAAGCTTAACAGACTGAGCCCCATGGGTGCCCCTAGGAGGTGAGTTTCTTCAGGTTCTTCTGGACATCTGAGGAAGTCATCCCAATTGCATGACTTTGGCAGAAACATTATTTCCTGTGAACTTTGCTTCTAGCTTTATCTGTGTCTTCCCAGCCTCATCAATGGCAAGGTAACTTTTTTTCTCTGTGGTCCAACCTGATTTCCATTCTTGTCACAGACTATGAGTCAAGTTCTCTCTTGTCCAGCAAGAGAGTGGATGCAGAATTGAATACAAGAGAGGCTAATGTTCGGGAGGAGAAAAGAGCCCCAAACAGGGGTTTCATCTGTGTTTATTGAGCTCACCAGATATTACCCACGTGATGAATGTGAAGAAAACAAGTGAACACATGTGAATGTGGAGAAAACAATCAGACAATAATCGTTAACTTGTGTGTGTAAGAAGCAAAGGGTTTGGGGGGGCAGGTGGAGTTTGTGATCAAGGTACCTTGGCACCAGATGGAAAGTAACTTCCTGCAGGTGATCTAACAAGTTACTGGTGATCCCATTACAATATCTCGCTAGCTCACCTCAGGCAAAAACGCCCAGTGGTGGCAGTTTTCAGCCCTAAGCATTTTCCTGACCCATTTATGTAAGTGGAAACTATTTCCCCACATACTCTTTCAGTCCTGGATGGGTTTTTCTTTCAGTGTTTATTATCTTATTTAATCCCCACAGTCATCCTTTAAGAGTGCTATTATCTCCACCTTGTACATGAAGAAACTGAGGTTTGGCAGGATTATGCAACTCCTACAAGTTCTGTCCATAGCCAGTGAGAAGCCTCGTAGGGGCTTGCTCGTCGGGTCTGGGTGACTCTTTCCTGGGTACCGCGCTGTTTCATAGTCCTGGGAATGTGCAAGGGATGCTCACAGAAGGCCCTGGCTTCCTTTTCTGCTCTATGTTACCGTACCTAGATGCGTGGGCATCTTGTAAGAAAACAGAATAAATTCAAGAGTCTTCCTCGTGAGTTTTCTGTGGTTCAGATCATCACCATCCCCTAGACGAAATGGAGTGTAAATACTGAGGTGAATGGCACCCCATTCACTTCGAAAGCTTGGAGGTGATGGGGCCCCTCTCAGACTGGGCAAACCTCAGAAAGTAGCAGGTGCTGAGGACGTCTTGGGCCCAAAGAAACTTCCGCTGGAGGAGTGGGTCCCGTGCATGTGGGGTGACTTCCTTCGGGGGACACATTCGCAAAGGGTCTTTAACCCAGGTAGTGCGCTCACGGATGCCTCGAACCTGCCTGGTCCCCGCATTTGGAACGGCGGGGGCGGGGGGGGCCGGGGGGCCCGTCCCTACACCGTTGAGGGCCATGGCGACAGAGAAGGTTGGGGAACGAAAGTAGGTGGGCACACGGGTCGCCCTCGACCCCGAAAGCCTCCTGCTGGGAGTGGGCCACCCGGGAACCCACCTTTTAGAAGGTGAGCCGGGCGCCGCCAGTTGCGCAGGGCCCGCGGCCCGCCCCTCCCTAGGGGCGCGTGCGCGCGCGCGTGTCGCCGTGGTAACCGCGCGGCGGAAAGGCGCGGAATCACGGGCGCGCGCTGCCCCGGCTGCTGCTGCGGAAGCTGCTGCGGGCGTCGGGCGGGGGTCCCGGGCGGGCGTCCCCGTCAGACCGCTGCTGCCCACCCCGCGGACCCGGCTGCGCGGGGCGGGGCGCCGGAGCGGCGGCCGGGCTCGTGTGCGCGGCTGGAGGTAAGCGCGTCGCGGCCACCTCACCCGTCCCGGGTCCTGACCGGGGTCGCTCCTCGGGCGCTCTGTCCCGGGGAGAGAAGGCGGGAGCGGGGCTGCCGTCGGGGGGCGGGCACCGCGTGTGAGTGAGTGGGCGAGGCCGGCACTTGACGGCGGGGAGCAGGTGGGACGGCAGGGGCACCTCCCCGCTAGCCCGTCGCACCGCCTGCGCGGTGTCGGACCGCGCGCGGACCAAGGGACGGGAGGGGGGGGCGGCGAGGGGGGGGGGGGGGGGGGGGACGGGCGCCCCGAGTTGGGGAGGTGAGTGCCTTCGGGTTCTCCCGGACCTCGGGGAGAGGCGTTACCCGATTGCTGCGCGGCAGGGGTGTTTCTGGGCAGGGCGGGGTCGGGGACGTTGACCTCGCCTCCCAACCTCGCCAGTTGCATCTCTTCGCCCTGTAGAGTCGTGTCCTTTAAACTCCGTTCGGTGATATTTATGAGAGATTTGCTGTCATTTGCTAAATTCATTTTGTCTCTGGGCCTTACCGTAATCTGAGGCTGAAAACCCCCGAATGGCTTTTCTCTCCTTCCCGTTGAACTCGCTCCACGGAATCAGGATATTATTATTCATCAAGAGCATAAGCCTTAGGAGAGTCACCATTCTTTCCATCATTCTCTTACTTTTATGGAGAGAGAAAAGAAAGAATACTATATGCATACTCATGTCCATTTTTATTGCTAGTGTGTTTAATCATTTTTGTTTGTGGGTTAAATGTTAGTGTTGTAAGCAGTGCTTAAGTAGAGAAGTTAGATGATGTTTTTGGTAATAAAAAAGCCCAAATTGTAGACAACGCCCTCTCTCAAGAAAACAAGAATTTTTGAAGTGAACGTTCGTATTTGTTGCTTTATTCCTGAAATGCATGCTCACTGTCCG